TTCCCGGGCTAAAATTTAAAAAAGGTGGGGGTTTTCCCTCACAGGCCGCTGACAAAACAAAAAGAAAAAAAAAACCCCCCCCCGGGGAAAACCCCGGGGGGGCGTTTTTCTTTTTTTTTTTTTTTGGTTCCGTTCTCGTTAGGGCTGTGAGGTATTATTTTTGGGGGGGGGGTCCCTCCACTCCCTCCCTTCGTTCCCGTGACAATTAACCCAAAGGGGTTGAGGGTGGGGGTGGGGGAGCGTCCCGGAAGGGGGGGGGGGCGTGCCTGGAGGGGGGGGGGGTTGAGAGTCCAATAAAATATCATGGACTCATTTTACTGCGTAGGGTTATTTCCCTTTAATATGGCAGGGTAGATAACCAAATAAATTACGTTTTTAGAGAAGAAAATCCCTAACTTGGGAGGTTGGCCTTAAGTTTTTTACTTAAGGCTAACCCCTCATGAAAAGCATTTGTTCGGCTCGAAACCTCATTTTAATTGTTATGTCCCTTGGGTCCGAGACGGGAAAGATACGCTCAGGCCACATTTTTTTGTTCAAAAGGCATAATTCCGGAGTCTGTAATCATTTTCATAACTATAACAGAAAAAATTGGGTCTGTCACATTGTTATATATATGTTGTAGTTTTTGTACGCCAAATATGAGTACCAATAGATCAAAATTACGAGAGAAAAACGTATCTGAAAATTGATGCAATTCCCTTTGTATCAGACGTTTACTTTTTATTCCTAGGATAAAATTCAGGACCTTATAACTTTTCTCCTCAGCGAAATGGAAAACTTCTGGGTCTGTCACATCGATATATATATGTTGCAGTTTTTGTACGCTAAATATGAGAACCAATAAATTGAAAATAAGAGAAAAATTTGCGTTTAAAATTGATGCAATTCTCATGTATCAGGTGTTTGCTTTTTGTTCATAGGCAAAAGTTAGGACTTAATAACTGTTCTCCTCAGAGCAATGTAAAAAATCTGGGTCTGTCACATCATTATATATTTGTTGTAGTTCTTGTTCGCTAAATATGAGTACCAATAGATTAGAATTACGAGAGAAATACGTGTTTACTTTTTGTTCATAGGATAGAATTCAGAACTTCATAACTGTTTGGTAAGAAAAATCGCCATAACTTTTTAACTAATAAAGATATCACCATTATTTAAACTGTTTTATGATCATTAAGGCAAGGGCTTTCCAAAGGCTGTTTTGTAAACTTAAATGGGTATTTAGTGAGTGCTCTGGTGTGGTTTTCTCTTTCTTTCTTGTCAAACATCTGTCCTTATGTCTCCTCCTTCTTTCCTTTGTATGTTACTCTTCGGTAGTAACACCAAAGACCGGCTATACACGGTCTTTGGTAACACTTTCAATCCGCAGCACTTAATTATAACTTAATTGTGTTGCAAGAGCTGTAAAACTCT